GAGCATTCGCCAAAGTACAGGATAGTTCTAGAAAGTAGAGGGCGTGAGAATAGTCACGTGATCTCGATGACGCAACAGCAAGGAGCAAAAGATTGAGCACAGTATCAAATGAGGATTAGCCAGTGACCTATACAATGAAGTTATAACATATTTAAACTTATATTCAATATTTCTGTACATACAACCTAAAATCTCATTTTCCATACCATAGCAACAACACAATGTTTGGATGGCTTGAAAGATTGATCAACCAGAATACCTAGATTCTTAACACTAATTATGCTTTAAAGAATTGACATTAATCTTAAACTATATTCTTACAATATACTTGTGTAAGCTTTTTTTTAAAGCAAAGCCACATTGGGTTAGCTGCTGAGGAATCGAACTCTGGGTTTTAGCATTGTAAGCCCCTAGACTTACTGCTGTTCCACCAGGGGACACTGTTGTAAGTTATATTTTCAATATTTTTAATTCAGATATTAGCTAGAGAGCACATGACGTTAAGATCAAGTAAGCCTAGAATACCAAAAGTTCCAAGTTTTATGCCAATAATCTAGTGACTATGATGGATATCTAGATATGAAACATCAGGTAGAAATACGGGTGGGGTAATCAATTGGAGCTATTAGTGAATCAGTAAGTTTTGTTCTCAGTAATTGAGTACCATTGAAGTTTGAACGTCATCTGTAAACTTAGGCTTATAAGTTACAACGCTGTACAAGTGAAGTGTAGAAACTTTGAGGAAGAAATAAACTCATTTGTTTTTGTTAGGTGGCTTGGACTTCAAATTATTCAAAATAATCTAAAAGAACCGGTCCAATAAAATAACAACATTACTATAGACGTATTTTTATTACGCTTATTATAAAACTAGCATAATAAAATATGGTAAATACTTGCAATTTCCTTGTATCAAACATATTGATGTAATGTATTCTAACGATGAACAGGTTCGTTTATTTGGTAAAAATATGCGAAGTCTAGTTCACGTAGTCGTAACGATAACATATTAATTTATGAGGCACTGTACCGGGAACATTAAATGACTCAGTTTGTGGAAGATCCCAATTACTACAAGTACTGCAACCTTCATAACAATGCATTACACATCATTTTACCCTCTTCTTGAACTGTGAGATATTCCGCTAGATTACTACTCATGATATCATATCACGCGTACCCCCAAAATTAGCATTAACCATTCTATAATCATTTTTACTTTTTATTGGTTAGCTACACAGCAGCAACAGCCAATTAACTGCGAGGAACATGGTCACACTCGAGCGTTACCTTACCTCTCACTGTACTTTGCATTATTGAATAGATAATAGTTTCGAGGTTTTATTTATTTTAGAGGAAAATGTCACCTTGAAGTGATAGCCAGTAAATCTGCTTCATAAGTAACAACTATTGGTGTGGTGCTTGCATAGTAACACATGTGGCCGGTTTGACCACTTATTATAAAACACGAGGTTTACCATTTCGATACCCGTGGTGGACAGAGCACAGACAGCCCATTGTGTAGCTTTGTGCTTAATTACAAATAAAAAGACAAACTGAATACGTCACTGAATTCTCAATCACTTATTACTCTTGTTTATAAACAAAATACTCTCGACTCTAGATGCTAATCGAAATTAGTAGATTCCTGATGTCATCGCGAACGTTCTAGGTATTCTGGACTACTTTTATATGATTACTTGATTTTAACGTCATACATTCTCCAGAAAACATCTAAATTAAAACAATGAATATATAGTTTAAAACAAAATTGTCAAAATAAACATGGTTGTAAAATGCACAATATACAAACACCTGAACATGCAGAAAAGTTTACATTACTTACTATGTTTAATCAACTTTTCTTTTTTACAAACATTACTTTTATACCATTTGACAAATAGCAATCTATACGTGTACTGATACTCAACTTATAACACGCTAAATATATGATTTAAATAATTTCTCTTGGACAGATATCTTTTTGTAAGCATTTCTACACACTTACAATACTGTAGTTTATCATTTCACAATTTTCTAAACCTATAGGGATAACATACATAGGGGAGATCGAGGCAATTTGATACAGTGCCTCTAGCTCTTCTTGATATTAATAGACGACGATAGT